CTATCTCTTTTGACTAGCTTTAAAGTCTGTTTTGTCAGATATTAGAATAGTTACATCTGCTAGTTTCTTAGTGCTGTTAGTTTAGAATATCATCTTTTTACTTTAAGGTGATGTCTTTTGTTGATGGTGAGTCAAATTCCTTTTTTTTGAAATTTGTTTTTATTGAATTTTTGTGCATTTCATACCGAACATATCAAACAGTCTTAATCATCTTTATACCCCTGTACCCACTGGCACCCTCCCATAGTCCCCCCACTGGAGTCCATAGTCTGTTATCCCTGTTAAGGCCCACTGTGTTGTCAGTGTCCCCAGCCATTCCCCAGTGCAAGTCCACTGAGGTCTAGTCAACCTATCTAGAGTCCCTTGTTTTAGGAAGATCAACTCTTCTTCATCTAGCAGCAATCAGTTGCCAGTATTTCTTCAGAGAAGATTGGGCTGTGCTATTCGTTTTCCCATTTCTATGCTGGATTATTATCTGCCTGAGTTTGCATGGGACTTGTGTATGCTGACACCATTGCCATAGAATCACATGAGCAGGTTCCCAGGAGTCTGTAGGACTCTGTTTCCAAATGGTCATCCACCTCCTCTCTGGCTCTTAGAGTCTTTCTGCCCCTTCTTCCGCGATAGTCCCTGAGTCTTGGGTAGGTAAAGTTTAATAAAGGAGCCCTGTCCAAGTTGGACTATCATTCAGCAGACTCTTAATCTCTCTGCTTTGGCCATTTGTGACCTTTTGTGTTCCTGGCCCTCTACTGGATGAGGGAGCTTCATTATTGAGAACTGAGAGATTCATTAGTGTCCTCTTCTTTACTCCTGTTCTATGTTCCATGAGCCTTAGGTGTAGAGGTTGCATTGTTGATGTGTCACTTACGCCTGGGCAATTCATAGACAATGTCCATGTGTGACCAGTTGTGATACTTGGTAATAGTGTCTGGTGCAAAATTGAGCTTCTTTCATGAGTGGTGAATGGGGTATTTGTCTGTAAATATAAGGATACATACTTTTCACACAGTAGGAAATCACATTAGTCTAGTGATGTGACAGTCTTGGGTTTTCTCTAAGCTCTATGACCATTCCAACCATGTGTATTTGGTCTTGTTTACAGTACCACACGAGTTTCCTCCTGTTGAGTGGGCTTTTAGTCCAATTAGGTAGCTGTTGATTGCCCCCAAAATGCAAGTGACACAACTGCACCAATGATACATGCTTTTCATAATAGCTAAGAGATGAAAGCAACCCAAGTGACCCTCAACTCATGAGTGGATAGTGAAAATGTGGCACATTTACACAATGGAGTTCTACTCAGTGCTAAAGAAAGATGAAATCATGAAATTTACAGGTAAATGGACAGAACTAGAAACTGTTATACTAAGTGAAGTAACACAGACTAAGAAAAATAATCGACGTATGTTCTCCCTAGCACCAAGTCCTGATAAGTGAGTATGTACCCAGACATAACTACAGGAACCAGAATGATGAAAAGGAACCAGGGAGGTAAAGGGAAAGAAAGAACCTGAGAGAGAACAGTAAGAAACAGGTGTTACTAAGGGAGAAATGGATAAAAATGGGGCTATTTAAATGGGAGGAGGGAGGAAGGGTTATATGAGGAACCTTGGGGATAAAGGGAAAGAAGGAGCTCAAGAGAGGTTGGGACCATAGGAGATGGGTATTATCAAGGGAGAAATGGAGAAAATGGGGATACTTTAAATGGCGGAAGCCATGGCAGAAGGGTTAGACAGGGAGAGAGAGAGGAGAGATAAATAATGCCTAGCTAGTTTTAAAAAACCAGAGGGAACCATATTAATCCAACAACCTACTGACAAATTACACATACATTATCTTTACATGAGGCCCCATAACAAGAAACAGTGCCAGACAGGAGATACCTTCCAGGGTGGTCCAGGAGACTCCCAAAATTACTTAGGTTATTGCCACAGCTCATGTTGGCCTCCCAGAACATGAAGGTAAAACCCTGTTGCCAAAGACATAACTTACTTCCAACACAAGATTTGGAGCAGTAGAGCTGTAACTGACCTGAAACCACTTCCTCTGAAGGCTAGCTCTCATAGCTTTGGAGAGCGCTATGAAGGTGCCAAGGGAAAAACATTAATGGATGATCCAACACCAGCTTCAAGACCATATAACCACATCAGTGTATTCCTTTTTAATAAAAATATTTTATTACTTTTATTTTATGTGCTTGAATGTATTGCCTGCATGTATGTAAGTGCACCTATGTTGTGCAATGCCTGTGGAGATGAGAAGAGGGAGTTAGTTCTCCTGGAACTGGAGTTACGGATGGTTATTAGCTGCCATGTGGGTGCTGGGGATAGAACCTGGGTCCTCTACAAGAGCAAGTAGTGCTTTTAACTGCTGAGCCATCTCTCCAGCCCCTGAGTTGTATTTCTTGGAGGCATCAAAAAGATGGATCTTGTTTTCTAATCCAGTCTGTTAGTCTGTGTTTCTTTATTGGCTAATTGAGTCCATTAATATTGAGTTATTATGGAAGGGTATATGTTTATTCCTGGCACTGTTTTGTTTATTCTTTGTGCCCTCTTTGGATTTATGCTTCTATTTAGACTGAAAATCTCCTTCCAGTATTCTCTGTAGAGCTGGTTTAGTGGTCATAAATTCCTTTAATCTGTCTTTTTTTTAATGAAAAATTATTTCTCCTTCAATTTTTTTTTTGTCTTTTTTGAGACAGGGTCTCCTTGTAGCCCCAGCTGTCCTGGAACTTACCATGTAGATCAAGCTGGCCTCAACGCACAGAGATCCGCCTGCCTCTGCCTCCCAAGTGTTGGGATTAAAGGCGTGTGCTACCACGCCTGGCTCTCCTTCAATTTTTATTGGATAGTTTTGTTAGGTATAATTGTCTGGGTTGATAGCTGTGGTGTTTAAACACTTGGTCTTTAAAAACATCTTTCCCTGCCCTTAAATGCTTCTTTTAAAAAATCAGGTGTATTTTGATGGGCCTGCCTGTATAGACCAGAAACTCTTGTAGCTTTTAATATTCTTTTCTTATTCAGTGTTTTTTATTGCTTTAACTGTAATATGTTGTGAGGAGTTTCTTTTCTGGTCCTGTCTATTTGGTTTTTTGTAGGCCTCTTGTACCTGGATGGTCATTTCTTTCTCTAGGTTTGCGTCATTTTCTTCTGATTTTATTGAAAATATTTTCTATTCCTTTGCTATGGTATTCTTCTATGACCATAATTAGAAGTTTAGGGTTTTTTTTTTTTTTTCCATTGTGTCCAAAACTGTCCTATGTTCTGTTCAAATGTCTTAAAAAAATTCTCTTTGACCTTTACTTAGTGATCTAATTCTACTTTGTCTTCTAGCCCTGGCTCTTGGTTTCGCACATGATCCATTCTGTTTGTGAAGCTTTCCATTGAGATTTTTATTTGACATACTGAGTTTTTTATTTCTAGCATCCTTTCAGTTTGACTTTTCTACAGCAATTCTCTGTATTGAATTCAGTTTTCATATCTTGTATTGACTTTCTTTCATTCAGCTCTTTGATTTTGTCTTCTTGAGTAGTTTCCTCATAGTTAGAATCATTTATTTTTATTTTTTATTTTTGTCTGGAAATCTCTCAGGTCATTCTCAATGTGGTTCATTACCATAGGATTAGTAAATTTTAGGAGGAACATGTTTTCTTTGTTTTTGTGTTACTTTTGTTTATGTGCTGAGACATGAATAACTGACAGGCTGTCTAGAAAACTTTCCTTGTGGTCATCCACCTCTGGCTCTTACCGTCTTTCTGCTCCCTCTTTCACAGTGATCCCTGGTCTTGGGAGGCAGAAGTTTGATATAGGTGTCCTGTTCAGGGATAAGCAGTCTGCAGCCTCTTATTCTCTGCATGTTGGCCAGTTGTGGTTTTAATCACTGCTGTTTAAGGATTCTTCTCTTCTGAAAGTTGAGAGATACATTAATCAAGGCAGGTCTGGGAAAGCACCTAGGTCCCCATCCTTATCTTAATCGATATTAGAAAACAGTTATTGGAGGTATGCACTTAGCTTTTCCTTGGCACCATTTGTATGTTTCTGAGCATCTACTTAGATTAGTCTAATGTATGCCATTTTAAACTATTTCAGTAAATATTTAAAAATATTCTTATCAAAGTGAATATTTGAATGCCGTTTTTCTGTGGATGTTGTAAGCTTTCTAAATATGTGACCTTACTGTCAAATACTACTTCTGATAGTTCATCATCACACAGAAATGCTGTATCTTCTCACTGGTGTTATTAATAGTTGGATATAAAAACTATAATATGTAGTACTGTTAAGCTTTACTATTGGATTGATTAGAAGACAGAAACAAACAAAACTAGAAAATGAGAAACTAGCAACTAGGTGCAAGTTCAAGAAATCCATTACTACCTGACTGGGATCTTCAAGTAGTTAGCCATGGAAGAAGATGAAGTGATTGATCATTACAGTCATTGCTTGCTATTGATATTTGCCTCATCAGATTACTTATGGAATAGTTGTTAATTATCTTGATATGCTTTTTGAAGACTTTAATAGTAAACTGGCAGCATCCTGTTCAGTTTGTTATATTAAAAATTATAGTTTAGTGTTTAAAAATTACTTTTGGAATATACACAGTACTTTATAACAAAAATGATCCCAAGGGTTATGCATACATTCTTATTGCATTGAAGCTTAGAATGTGAACATATCTCAATGTGTTTGGACATATCTAGATGTACTACTTATTTTGGGTGGATCTAGTTGTAGGCAACAATACTAAATCTGAAGATACTCACTTTATCTTAGACTCTTCACCTGATTGAATATGTTTTCTAATTTCTACTAAGAGTTACTGCAAATGAGGGAAAATTTAAATGAAAATTTGGGCATGTGGCTATCTTATTTTGAGCTAACTGTAGACTTATGCCAACATGTAAGATTTAACTTTAGTTACCATACCATACTACTTCTGTTACTTTATTGACTAGAAGATGACACTATGCATCAAAAAATAACTTTTTTTGTTGTTAGCTTTTTAGTTGGAGAAGGAGCCTACAGATGGGCAGTGGATCATGGGATACCTTCTTGCCCTCCTAGCATCATGACTACAAGTGAGTAAACCTTCACTAGCTCAGTTTGTGAACAACAAATGTCAAGTGTTATACTGTTCCGTTTTGACTTTCATAGGACAGGTATTTAAGATAGAGCATGAATGTTGAAACAGAAGTCAAAAGTTACCTATTTTTAAGCCACCTTTTTATTCTTGAGGTCTCCTTCTTGCTTTGTCTTTTTCTTTTGAAAGATAATTTTCAGTCTGTAGCCCTGATCAACCTGGAACTTACTGTGTAGTTTGGGCTGACCATGAACTTGTGGCAGTCCTTCTGCCTCAGCCTCCTGAGTGCTAGGATTTTACATCTGATCCACCATGCCTGGCTTCTTATTTTGAAGAAAGATCATTTTTAGGTTATGTAAAATAATTACTCATAACAAAAATATAGAGTTCCTCTCTAGAGGACAGAGAGAGGGAAGGAAGCAGAGGGAAGCAAACATAATAGGCTAACATTTAACTCCTTGATCTGAGGAATGGTTTTTTTTGTAGACAGCCTATCACTTTGTAATCTGGGCTGGCCCATATCTTAGTATATAGCTCAGACTATATACTAAACTTTATCTTTCTGCCTCTACCTCCCCTCATAGGCATGAGCCACTATAAACAGCCCTGAAGATTCATCTCCAAATGCATGGGAAGGATACTGTGTTAAAACTGAGAAGCATAGCTGGGCGTGGTGGTCCACGCCTTTAATCCCAGCACTTGGAAGGCAGAGACAGACACATCTCTGTGAGATTGAGGCCAGCCTGGTCTACATAGTTCTAGGCTAGTTGGGACCCTGTCTTGAAAAACCAAAAACAAAAAAGCAAACAAACAATCAAAAAACCCAAACCAAACAAAACCATACTGCGAACAGTAAAAACTGAAAAACATTTCTCATAAATATGACAAAAAGTTATGTATTTTAATCTATGAAGAAGTATATAAAATTCAAGACAACAGAAATAAAAGTAATAAATCCCTAATAGAAAAATGGTGAAGTCATAGTAGGTAATAGGGAAATTTGAATTAATTATGTGTTAAATTTATATTCTTTTAATTTGTGAAAGAGTTAAAAGATACTATGTTGACCCTAGTAAGTGCATGGTAAAATGAATAGAAGATGCTGGCAAAGATTTGGGAGGATAGCTAAATTCTTTAGCTCAAAAAGCTTTAAACTGGTTCTGCTTCTAATAGCCTATCTGTCATTGGAGATAGAGACGTAGATTTATGTAGCTAGGTTCTCAGTGAGCATTAAGTCTGTTAAAATAACCAAATAAACCGAAAAACATCCTGTGTCCAACCCATAGGAATTTGGGTAAATTACTATATATTCTTATAGTAAAATGTTACAAAATACTAGAAATAACTGAAAACTCATGTCTGATAATAATTAAATCCTAAGATATTGAAAAAGTGAAAAGTGGAGTTACAAATGTCTCTGTATAAATATATGTATTTTGAGAAGAAATCATAAGTTCTCGCTTGTATAAAATAAATGGTGAAGTTTTAGGAGGATATGTAGATAAACTCAGGTGTTTCGTCTGCCCATTTTACTTTAGAGCATTTATATAAAAAGGTATTAGAAAATGACTATTTTAAGGCTGGAGAAATGGTTCAGTGGTTACAAGCACTGGCTGTTTTTGCAGAGGACCTGGTTTTAGTTCCTAGCACCCATACTGTGGCTAACAACTGTCTGTTACTCTATTTCCAGGGGATCTGATGCCTTTTTCAGGCCTTCAAGGCATTGTGTGCATGGGTGCACTTATGTACATGCAGGCAAAACTCTCATACACATAAAATATTACAAATGAAAATGGCTATTTTTAGATTTTGTAGGATGACAAAAATGTTTTTAAGTATTTTATGTTTGTAATAAGTAAACATACTATGTATTTCTTATGAATTATATAATAAAGCAGGAAATGTTCTCTGAATAAGGTAATTTGCAAGTTAAATAACACAAATCCATTTCTTGTAGAACTGACTACCATTAACTTTAAGAAAATTTAAATAAAATAATTATTGTACAGATTGAAAAATAAAATGATACCATCCTTTTGTAGACTTTAGTCTTCAAAAAAGTAAGATTGTGTATTTGTCTCGTTCAGTGATTTATTTTTTTAAAATATTATTTTTATTTTACATTTATGTGTGTATTGCCTGCATGTATATAAGTGTATCTGTGTTGTGCAATGCCCATGAAGGACAGAAGAAGCCACCATGTGGGTGTTAGGATTTGAACCTGGGTCTTCTGCAAGAACAGCCAGTACTCTTAACCACTGAGCCATCTTTCCAGCCCCAGTGATATGCTTTATACCACAGTATCTTTTGGCAGGCATCATTTGTAAGTTTTTAACCTCTCTGGAGTTAGATTTTACAATGTCCTTCCAAGGCTTATCCTCAATGAGTTGGTCAGACTTTCAATAATTTCATGTATCTTAATTTTTCATTCCTTTGTATAGATTGATTTTCTGACTTATAACTTCAGGAGCTGAGGATATAGTTCAGTGGCAAGTGCTTGTTTAGCATGTGTGAGGCCCTGGATAATTTTAAGTACTCAAAAAAATATCCTGAAGATAAGTACTGTCCACATAATTCCCTTCAGTTTGCAATGTTCTTTAACATTTCTGGTAGTGTGCGACTGGTGTAAAAGTTTCTGTTTTCATTCTCCAAAAAATGTTTGCCTTTAAAAAAATAGTTAAGCATTATCTTTTCAAAATAATTTATAATGTGTGTGTGCACGCATGCATGCACGCACGTGTGAATGAATGTGGGTGCCTGAGGAGGTCAGAAGAGGGTGTCAGATCCCCTACATCTGGACTTATTGGTGACTCTGAGCTGCCTGATCTGGGTGCTGGGAACGAAACTGGAGTCCTCTATTAGAGCAGGAACTGTTCTTAACCTCTGAGCCATCTCTCCAGCCTCTTGTCTTTTTTGTGTATGAGATTAGGTCTCACTGTGTAGCCCTGGCTGGCCTGATAATCACTATGTAGATCAGGCAGACCTCCAACTTGCAGAGATTTGTCTGCCTCTGTTGGGTGCCTGGATTAAAGGCGTGTACCACCATGCCCAGCTTCCCTTTACTTCTTTATGGTTGTTTTTGTTATTTTGAGACAGGGTCATCTTGTAGCCCCAGCTGGCCCAGAACTCAATATGTAGACCAGGCTGGCCCTGATCTCACAGAGATCTATTTCCCAAGTGCTGGGTTAAAAATATGGGCCACTATACCTGGCCTCTTATTCTTTCCTTTTAAAATATAATTTTAATTAATTTTTAGTTTTTAATTATTTTTATTTTATGTTTATGAGTGCATTGCCTGCATGTATGTGACTGCACCTGTGTCGTGCAGTGCTGCAGAGGTCAGAAGAGGGTGTTGGATTTCCCTGGAACTAAAGTTAAGGGCGGTTCTTAGCTGCCATGTGGGTGCTGGGAATTGAACCTGGGTCCTCTGCAAGAACAATCAGTGCTCTTAACTGCAGAGCCATCTCTCCAGCCCCAATTAATTTATTTCTATTTTATGTGTATGACTGTTATGTGTACATGTATGTAAGTGCATTTCTGTCATTCAGTAACACTGGAGGACAGAAGAGGGCATCAGATTCCCTGGAACTGGGGTTACAGATGGTTGTTAGCCACGATGTGGGTCCTGGGGTTTGAACTGGGGTCCTCTACAAGAGCTGCCAGTGCTCTTAACCACTTCATCATGTCTCCAGCCCTTAAAATATAATTTTAATTGGATAAAGACATCTAGGTTATTGGTGTTTTTTTTTTCTTTTTAGAATGTTTAACCACATTTTTTTGAATTTAAAATATCCACATAGCTTAACCATTTTATTACATTAATTGACTGTGTGTGTGTGTGTGTGTGTGGTGCCTGTGTGTGTCTGTGTCTGTGGGAATGTGTTTGCCATGGCTCATGTGTGGTCAGAGGATTAGTTGGGAGTTTATTCTCTGCTTCCACCATGAAAATCTCAGGTATGAAACTCAGGTCATCAGACCTGGTGGCAAGTGCCTTTACCTGCTGAAACATCTTAACCAGCCCAACCTAACCTAAGTATACAGTTGATTTATATTAAGTATATAAGTGCACAGTGCTATTCACCACTTTTCATTTCCCTAACTTTCTCATCATACTAAACAGAAAATTAAATTAGTAACTACTGCCTGTTTTATGTCATCCACTGGACCCCAAAAAGACCACCGAGGACCCAATGCACCAAAATGCAAAAGCAAAGGTTTATGGTTAATTCGTGCTTAAGCTCGGGCTCTCAGACCTCACCAACGCAAAGGATCTGTGCTGAGAGCCCAGAGTAAGGGAGAGTGGAGCCTTTTATAGGTTTTAGACAAAGGTGGGGAGATACCGAAGATGCATTTTGGTTGGTTCAAGGAGCCCGCATGCGCCAACATAATTTTAAACCGATAGGATGCAGCCCTGGAAGTTTCTTATTGGTAGGTGCTATTTTCAGGGCTGTGGAATGTGCTGACTGTTACCTGTGGGGCCAGGAGTCTCCGTTTTTACCTTATAGGGTAGTTTTCATGCCCGGGCTTTCTTAATCTATAGTTTCCTGGAAGGGGTGTGGGGAATAGCAGGCAGGGGGTCAGGGCATGCCAGGGCATGTCTTGACATGTCTAAAGCAACAGCCAAGCATTTTACAGAAGCTAAAAGAGCAATTAGTTGGGGTCTGGAGGGATTCGGGGGTAGCGGGTGAATGAAGAGGGTCTGAGGGTCCTACATTCTCCCCTTGTCTTGTAACTGGGGAACCCAATCATGGGTTCTGGTAAAGAGGGCCCCGGGGTCTCTCCCTGAAGCGTATAGCCATAGGCCCCATGTGTGTCCTACATCCCACCCCATAGACTGTTTTCCTTTCTCAGTGAACCGAATTATGAGTGGGTTGCACAGTGGTTGGGCGCAGGGCCCCCCCATACCTCATCCAGTGGTCCCTCCCCATCCCAGGATGGTAGATCCAGGGGCCTGTTGTAGGGTTATTAGATCCCCGGTTGATGACCCTTTCCACCAGA